GTATTTTGATTCTTAACTCAATAAAGAGTATCTACCAGAAAAACCTACATCAGACCTCCAACATCATGCACCGCAGTTAACATGCTCTTTAATGTTGAGAACAACTCAAGGATGGTGCTATCACTGCTACCATTTAAAATTCCATCACAAATTTCTGCCAATGGAAGAAGAAGAAGAAGAAGAAGAAGAAGAAGAAGAAGAAGAAGAAGAAGAAGGAGGAGAAGGAGGAGGAGGAGGAGGAGAAACAGGATGACTTAATACTGGGACAGAAAGACAAAACTGTTATTTGTAGATAATTACTACAAAATGTGAGGTATAACACATTGAAAAACTACTAGGAATAATGAAAAAGTTTAATAAAATCCACATATGTGATCAAAATCATTGTTTTCTTTTATACTATCAACCACAACACAGAAATACGCTTTAAAAATCCCATTCCCGGTACGCACAAAGAACTCTTTAAAATACAGGGCGATGCACATAACATAACATGCATAAGACTTACATAAGAAAAACTGTGTTAGTGAAATAGGGGCACCTGGGTGTCTTAGTTGGTTGAGCGTCCAACTTCAGCTCAGGTCATGATCTCATGGTTCGTAAGTTGGAGCCCCACATCCAGCTCACTGCTGTCAGCACAAATCCCGCTTTGAATCCTCTCTCTCTCTCTCTCTCTCTCTGTCCCTTCTACTCTTGTGCTCGCTCTTTCTTTCTCTTTCAAAAATAAACAAACCTTAAAAAAACTGTATTAATGAAATACATAAAAGAGGACCTGAATAAATAGACCTATTATAGATTGATGTTGTCAAGGTATAATTACCCCCAAATGAATCAATATGAATTCTGCTCAAGTTCTATCAAAATCCTAACAGGTTGTTTCAAGGGATTTGATAAACCGTTTCTAGCATCTGCCTGAAAGTAAATGAGCAAAGCTTGGCAGGAAAATGTTGTAGGGGATTCTTTGTCCTGCGCAGAGCAGAGATCTACTGTAATTTTTGAAATATGGTTTTGGCACATGGATAGACCCAAAACCCAGTAGAACAGAACTCAATAGAATAGATTCCAGAAAAGATCCCCAAATAGATGAGAATACAGTAGATAATCAGATTGGCATTTCAAAACAATGGGTGGAAAGATAGTTTTGAGATAAGTGGCTTTCCTTACTTAGCAAAGTAAAACTTAAGGTGCCTACCTGAAATAAATTATAAATATTAGGGGTGTCTGTGTGTGTGTGTGTGTGTGTGTGTGTATTAGTTGCCACAAAATAAATTATAGATGGCTGAAATCCTGAAGAGTTAAACATAGAGGAGAAATAACTATGAAAGAAAAAAAAAAGAACTACAGGTAAATTTTTGTATCATCTTTTGTGTGGGGACCATGTTATAGGTGAGGTTCTCCCAAAAGCAGGCTCTGAAATGGAAATTTGTGTGCAAGGGGGCTCTCCACATTCAGCACATAAGGGTGAAAAGAAAGGATCAGAATTAATTAAGTGAAGAAGATGAGCTGAGATACAATTACACTGAGGCCTCATCCAGGCACATGGTGCAGGCTGACCCCATGGGGGATGTGGCTGGGGGAACGAGGTCATTCTCCTAGGCTGAGAGTAATCCTCAAAGAAGGCTGACAGCTTCAGCCCTGAGGAGATCTCATTTGTGCAGCGCACAGATCCACACTTGAGCAACGTGGATCAACTCTTCCTATACATTTAGGCATCAGCTCCTCCGAGATCCCACGAGTGTCTTTTCTTGCCAAAAACTTGTAAAGGGATTAGTAGAATGATGCAGCTTCCACCATTGCCGCGGGTCTTGAAGCCCTCGCTGATACCCAGTGTCTCCTCTTTCCCATTCCAGATTCCCCGGGTCCTTCACCAGCACCCCAGCAAGTTTGAATGGCTTACTTGGTAAGGTGAGCCAGATCTGAGGGTCCGAGCCTCTGATCACTATGTACTTCTTATTTATTTATTTATTTTCAATGATTATTCACTTTTGAGACAGAGAGAGACAGAGCACAAGTGGAGGAGGGGCAGACAGAGAGGGAGACAGAATCCGAAGTAGGCTCCAGGCTCTGAGCTGTCAGCACAGAGCTGGACACGGGGCTCAAACTCATGAACTGTGACATCATGACCTGAGCCGAAGTCAGACGCTTAACCCACTGAGCCACCCAGGCACCCCTGAACACTATGTACTTCTTCAGTCCATGGCTATTGTACTTGTCCTTTGTCCTCAAAACCGAATAAGGGACATAGAAAGAGATGCTTGAGCTTCTTGCAGTGCCAGAAAATAAGAAAGTGTTCAAGGAAAAAGCCCATCAGTGATGGGCATGTGTTAAAGAGATGCAGAAGCTGACTTGAAAGAACTACCTATGGGCAAAGCTGAAACGGAGGAAAAAAAAAAAGAAAGAGTATTGGATTATAATCTGAAGTGTAAAATAAATATCTACAAACCTAACTGATATAAATAAACATTTGAATAAATAAATTGGGGAAATTGACAAATCTATCTCTTTAAAAATAGTTTATTTATAGCTTCTGCACAGCCAAGGAAACAACCCAGAAAATTAATAGGCAACCAACGGAATGGGAAAAGATAGTTGCAAATGACATATCAGATAAAGGGTTAATATCCAGAATCTATAAGGAACTCACCAAACTAAACGCCCGAAAAACAAACAACCCAGTGAAGAAATGGGCAGAAGACATGAACAGACACTTCTCCAAAGAGGACATCCAGATGGCCAACAGACACATGAAACGATGCTCAGCATCCCTCCTCATCAGGGAAATACAAATCAAAACCACACTGAGATACCACCTCACGCCAGTCAGAGTGGCTAAAATGAGCAAATCAGAGAACTCTAGATGCTGGCGAGGATGTGGAGAAACGGGCACCCTCCTACACTGTTGGTGGGAATGTAAACTGGTACAGCCCCTCTGGAAAACAGTGTGGAGGTTCCTCAGGAAACTAACAATAGAACTCCCTTATGACCCAGCAATAGCACTGCTAGGAATTTACCCAAGGGATACAGAAATGCTGAGGCATAGGAGCACATGTACCCCAATGTTCATAGCAGCACTCTCCACAATAGCTAAAACATGGAAAGAGCCTAAGTGTCCATCAACAGATGAATGGATCAAGAAGATGTGGTTTATCTATACCATGGAATACTACATGGCAATGAGAAACAATGAAATCTGGCCATGTGTAGCAACATGGATGGACCTTGAGGGTGTTATGCTGAGCGAAATAAGTCAGGCAGAGAAGGACAAATATCATATGTTTGCACGTATAGGATTAGGAGGAACTTGACGGAGGAACAAGGGGGAGAAGAAGGGCGGAAATGGTGGGGGAAAGGGAGAGAGGCAAACCATGAGAGACTCTTGAATGCTGACAAAAACTGAGGACTGATGGATGTGGGGGGGAGGGGGGGATGGGCATGGAGGAGGGCACTTTGGGGATGAGCACTGAGTGTTATGTAGAAACTAATTTGACAATAAACTATTTGTAAAAAAAAAATAGTTTATTTATTTTATTTATTTTAAGAGAGAGATAGAGAGCAAGTGGGGAGAGAAGTAGAGAGGCAGGGGGGACAGAATCCCAAGCAGGCTCTGTGCTGTCAGAGCAGAGCTGTTAAGCAGGGCTTGAACTCAGGAACGTGAGATCATGACTTGAGCTGAAATCAAAAGTCAGACGCTTAACTGGCTGAGCCACCCAGGCACCCTAAGATAAATCTCTTTCCTAGAAGAATTCTAAATAACTTATGAGGGTATTCTACTCTAAAGAAGGTGGAGCTTAATTCCTCATTCCTTCTATACAGGCTGCAAATAGTGATTTCCTTCCAAAGAGTATTTACTGTACAGAAAGGGGAAAAAAGAGTAACTTTACAATGGAGAACATGACAAATATTACATAAGTCAGGTGATCAAAATTAGCCTCAACTCTGATAAGTCATGTACCCTTGATGTGATGTCCCCTTGATATGATGTGACGGAAATGGCACTCAATCTCTGTGGTCTTCCTCCTCTAGTCTAATCATGAGCAAAACATCAGACTAAACCACGGGGCGGGGGGAGAACTTTACAAAACACCCGACAGGTACCACTCAAAATCGTCAAGGTCATCAAAAACAAGAGAAATCTGAGAAACAATCATAGCCCAGAGAAGTGTGAGGACCAAATGTAATGTAGCATTTTAGATGGGATCTTGGAACCAAAAAAGGATGTTAGGTATAATTTTAAGAAATTTAAATAAAATGTGCCATACTAATGTATAGCAGGGGAAACTAAGTCAGAGGATATATGGGGACCCTCAGTGTAATCTGCAATTTGTCTGTAAAACTAAAGCTATTCTAAAACTAGAAGTTTACTGGGGCACCTGGGTGGCTCAGTTGATTAAGCATTTGACTTCAGCTCAGGTCATTACCTCAAGGTTTGTGGGTTTGAACCTTGCGTCAAGCTCTGTGCTGATGGCTCAATGCCTGGAGCCTGCTTCGGATTCTGTGTCTCCCTCTCTCTGCCCCTCCCATGATCAGGCTCTGTCTCTCTCTCTCAAAAATAAATAAACATTGAAAAAAATTTTTCAATAAAATTAGAAGTTTATTCTTATATATATATATTTTTTAAGATTTTATTCTTAAGTAATCTCTACACCCAGTGGGGGCTCTAACTTGCAACCTGGAGATCAAGAGTTGAACACTCTAGCAACTGAGCCAGCAAGGCGATCTTTTACATGTATTTTTTTTTTTTAATGCTAGAAGAAATATCTTGTTAAACTTGGTCTTTAGTGGATATTAGCCAACTATCAAATAAGAATACACAACAGCCCCAAAGGTGGAAAACAATATATTAATTTATTTCCAAGACAACAACATGGAATATCATCAAAAACAAGGATGGGTTTAGTCGTTTCCACTATCCCTGGAGGCTAGTGAAAACCCACTCGCCCAAACACTACAATCTTCCAATATTAAAGTATTTAAGACATAGAGATGACCAGCAACAGACATGTAAACATCTTCTATTCCAAAAGGCTTCCCGTTCTAGAGGAGAACGATCCAGTGTAAAACATTTCTTCTCCTCGGGTGGGGTCATGTAAAGAGGCTGAAAGAAAAGATGATTATTAGACTCATTAGCTCTGGGTGTGTTCCCTACACTTCAACCCTTTACCGCTTTGTACAGTTCTGTATTTTTCAGTAGCTGGAAAACCATAAGGCTTGACTTCAAAGACATTCCCTTAAATACAATGAACATTCAACAGACATAGTTACAGAAAGAACAGGAATAAAACCAATGTGTTAACTAACGATATCATTAGTTTTAGTAACTTTTTTGGGGTTAGAATAAATAAATATTAAGGAACTCAATGGATTTAGGAATACAAAAGTAGACTTCACATTTTTCTGATGTGACAGGACATTTTCTCATATTAACACTGAGACTGTTCTTAAACCCTACCCTCTCTGGCATACTAAATATGGCTTCATTTTACCTTCTCTAAGTATTGAACCTCAGGAAATTGAACTAAGGAGACCAGTAAGAACATCCTAATCCTCAGAGAACTTGTTTCCTAATGCTTATTAACCTCACTAAGCCTCGCTTAATTCACCTGCAAAATGGGAGTAATCATGTAAGCCTCCCAAGAGTATATGTAAGGTTTTAACGCAATGAGCCAGCTATCAGGGTGCCGAACAACACAACACACGTTAGCTTCTGTCTGTTCCTTCCCTTCTTTCTTTGGAATGGCCTCGGATTTAGATCTCCATTTCTAATTACTCATATCCCTGGCCAGCCTGATATCACAAATTACAACCCTGGATATGAATGCATTAAAATACAAGCAATCTGTGAGATTCTCTAGAGCAGCTTTTCCAATCCTGATGCTATTACCAAGAATTTCAGAGTCAAGGAGCCTCTGTCTTACTTTTCTCCTTCTCTCAAGCATGTGTCTGGTGTATAAGAGGCACTCAAGAAATATCTACTGTGTGCTGAGTGAATGAATTGGGAAAGAGAACAGGATGAGGGATACGCGACAGAGAAGCTTGCTCACAGTTGAAAGCTCTTAAAAATCTAGGCACTCTTATCAGCACCAGCATTGTAAAGCTACTCAGAGAATACTCTGGAGTCCTTGGATTCCATTTTGCAGGTAAGATCACTTTGGTGGGGGTAAAGGGTAGTGATCCAAGAGGAAAGTGATTCATTCTGAGGTCAGAGACGTGGGACAAGATCCATGCAATAGCACCTCAGTTCTAGAAATATCTTCATTCTGTAGGAACTTTTCAGCGTTCACCATGGAAACCAATGGAAGAGGGACCAGAGCACATTCTGATGCACAAAAAAGGTCCTGTTTCCCTGGGGTCCCTTTGCTGAAGCAGCAGCAGTGACTGCTGTCACTCGTCAGTGACTTTACATTCTATCCGGGCCTTCAGACACGGGAAGCTGACAGTGCTTGTGTTGAAATGCGGGAACAGGATCTAGTTCTCCATGCTAGTAGCTCAAGTTTTAAAGGAGGTTGCCGAGGTGCCCAGAAAGCCGTTTCTATGCCTGTGTGCCGCTGAGCAAAGAGGAGTGGCATCCATGATGTGTGGCTATAGATCCGCCATAAAAGATTCCTTCTCCAAAGAAACGCAATTCCTATTTCCCTAAACAGTATTATCTATACTTCTCCTTTTCGTGAGAGCATTTCTCTCTGATGAGCATCTGGTGCAAAGGTCTGACATCAGTTACACTGATCACTGATCAGATCCCGAGCCCGACACAGAATGACCATCAAGAGAGCCGCTAGAAGGGCCAACGTGCCAGCATTGCCCTGTGCAGCCCTGATTGCGTAGTTCACAGTGTCCAGTAGATGTTTTAACATATAGCAGAGCCACATCCTGCAGCCGTGACCTCGCTGCTATGACTGTTAACCATAAGCGAGGCCAAGTTCTCTCACAGAGAAAGGCTCTTCTTCCTGCCCGCGACTGCCCTTCGATCATGCGTTACAGTGGATCAGAAATACCAGCTGGGCTGTATTTCGGTTTCACTCTGATTTAGGGTTCTTTCTCGAAGCCTCAGTTCTAGGCATTCCACAGTGAGGGGGTACGTAGTCAGCTCAAACTTGTTAGCAAAGAGGCTGGGCGAATTAATCAACCACTTCAAGTCCCCGTTTCCATAGATACAAATGCCGTGTACGTAGCGGCCTGCAGAGCAGAGAACAAACAGTCAGAACATTCCTGTTTGCAAGACTTGGGGGTGGAGAAGCTATACGTCAGTAGAGACATGCCTGCCTACTGAGGAGCTAACACTGTGCCCAGTGCTACGGGGTTCTGATGACATGGGACCCAGTCGGCCCAGCCCGCAGGAAGTTAAACCCTTTCTCAGAAGATAAGGGGGATACATCCGTACTTGAACAATTGGAGAGTTGAATAATATGAGGCAAGAACACCATATGTATCATAAGACGATTCATGTATTCTCAACTGAGAGCTATGGATGAGAAGTTCCAGAAGTGAGCAAATGGGAGAGGTTCTTTCTGGGAGGCACCGGTCAGACCTCTTCTTTGAGCTCTGGCCTAATCTACTCAAGTGCCTACTTTTATCTCCTCATAGAGGAGAATAAACCTCACTGATGTGACATGTCTCAACATGTCAGCTTGACTCAGCTCCCGACCCCCTCCAAGTCTTTCCCATGACACCCATGCCACTCCTATTTTTCAGTGCCCTGGGCACTTGTCCCCCTTTCTCACACCCCCACCTCTGTCAGCGATTCTGGCCGCTCCACCTTCAAAATCATGGTAGAATCTGATCGCTTTTCACCATGTCCGCTACTACCATCCTGGCCCATGCCACCTCCATCCTCCTGTCAGAACTGCCATGTTACTAACTGGATTCTTGTGTCTCCGCCTCTGCCTGTTGGTATATTCTGGGCACAATGGCCAAGGGGATTGTTTTCAACGTAAGCATATCACGATGTCTCCTCATCTCGTGTGTAGGCACGGCCAAAGTCCCAGCAACAGCATTGAAAAGTCCTGAGTCGGGCCTTTACCTCCTGCCCCTTGCTCATTCGCTTATAACCCTTCACAACCCTGCTCATTCACTCGGGCCACACTGGCCTCCTTGCTGCTCCCCCCTTTGCCCCCCCACCCCTGACACACACACCAAGCATGTTCACCTGAGAATCCGCATAGCTCTTCCTCCCACGGCCAGCCCCTTTCACCAGACCTCCCAGGGGCTCCCTCTCACACCACCCCAGGTATCTGCCTCGAGGCCACGTTCTCAGGGAGGCCTCCTGTGACTCCCTCTCTTCCTTCCCCGATTCATTTTTCTCTTGGCTCTCACCGCCAACAGATAGATGGTCAGTGCCACGAAGGCAACTATTTTGCTTATTGTCTTTCTTCCTGGCCTGGAATGTAAGGTCCAGAAGGGCTGGAACTTGAGACCATTTTGCTGTCCTCTGTGTTCCCCCTGCATCTGGGACAGTACCTGGCAAATATTAGGTGTTAAGTTAATAGTTGTTGAACCAAAGGATGGAGAAGGATGAGTGGAGTTAGTGAAAGGTCAGATCTTGTGGGGGGTGGGGCAGGCATCAGGGGCATGGATGGTGGCTTCATTTGGGGAAAATGTGCAGAGAAGGGAATTTTCTGCTACAATAGAGAATTTGGTTGGCAAGTAGGTTAGAAAAAGAATGGTAGGAAGTTGAACCTCTTTTCTAGAAGTTTCTTGGCATGCAGTGGAATGACTATGGTTGACTGAGTTAAACTAAAGGGCTGGGCCTTTTTCTATCCCACAAATAGGGAGAGTCTTTGAAGATTTTTGAATGGAAGGATCAAATGGTGAGATGGGCTTCAGCAGCATTAATTTTACAGAATACAGTTAGAAACCCATCCTGAGGCCACAATAAAAACTTAATGTAAACCAGAGAGCTGGTTTCAAGTTCATGGCGTTGCCATGAGTGGGAAAGAAGGGTATTCGAAACAGAACAGAGAAGGGCTGGCAGGATTAATGTCATTAATCGAGATTAATTTAATGCAGCTGGCAGGAAGTACAATAGAGAGTGGAAATCGATGGAGAGAAGCCAGAGTTGTGGGAAGGCAGAGATAACTGGGGAGTGAGAACTGAATGCAGACGCAGTACGCCCATGCTTAAGAAAATGAAGTGAACAGAAGGGGCATCTGGGTGGCTCAGTTGGTTAAGCATCTGACTTCAGCTCAGGTCATGATCTCACAGTCTGTGGGTTGGAGCCCTGCGTTGAGCTCTGTGCTGACAGCTCAGAGCCCGGAGCCTGCTTTGAATTCTGGGCCTCCTTCTCTCTCTCTCTCTCTCTGCCCCTCCCCTGTTTGTGCTCTATCTCTCTGTATCTCCCCTATTCACACTCTGTCTCTCTCTCTCTCTCTCTCTGAAAAATAAACATTAAAAAACACAACAAAATAAAAAGAAAGTGAAATGAACAGGAGAGACCATTTCAGGGAGCGTGAAGTAGAGGCTCACAGACAATGTGGTCTTCAGGCTAGAGGCGATCATGACACGCGGGCAGAGAAGCAAAACAGCCAGCACGAGGGCACCACTGGAACGCAAGAGAGCAAGGGGACCATTTAGGGGAACCGGCACATAACTGAGACCCCAGGTGGTCACCCGGTTGTGAGGACAGGTAACTTTTCCTTCTCGAAACAGGAAGGAACAATGAGAAGAGTATGTCCAAAATACCCTGAGGTGGAGGAATGGGATGGTGTGGCAATCCGGTAAGGGGACTTTGGTCACGTGTCTTGAAAGTTCTCCCTCAAGTTAAAACTGTTACCTATTGAGTCCGGAAAGTCTGTTTTAGCACAAGAGTGAGAGTTTAAAGCAAGCAGGAAAGATGAAAAGAAGTCCATTGGGAAGGGTACCAGGAAAACGATAGGGTAAATAAAAGAATACGTAGGCAGCCAGGAGGGTCTGGCCACCCCTCACCCCTCCATCAAGGGTGAGTTTGGGACAGTTCTGGAACAATCTCCAGCAATGCTCTCTGTTCAGGGAAACACAAATGGCAAAAAGCGGATGGTGGTAGTTATTACATGTGTGAATTGGCCCTGTAGGGTCAAATGCTGTTCTTGAGAACACGAGACAGCGGACCCAGTACACACGATGGACAAGGGGTCCTCAGAAGGATGCGAGCAGGAAGAGGAAGCTGAGACCACTGAAACTCTGGCAATCCCAATTTTATTTTATTTTTTTAATATTTTTATTTATTTCTAGGAGAGAGAGATAGAGATAGCGTGAGCAGGGGAGGGTCAGAGAGAGAGGGAGTCACAGACTGAAACAGGCTCCAGGCTCTGAGCTGGCAGTCAGCACAGAGCCCGACGCGGGGCTCGAACCCACGAACCGCGAGATCGTGACCTAAGCGAAAGTCGGACGCTTAACCGACTAAGCCACCCGGGCGCCCCAGGCAATCCCAATTTTAAAAAAGCAAACACGTGGGACACTCAGATGGCTCCATTGGTTACATAACCGACTCTTGATTTCGACTCAGGTCATGATCTCAAAGTTCGTGGGTGGAGCCCACACTGGGCTCCACACTGCTTGGGAGTCTCTCTCTCCCTCTCTCTCTCTCTACTCCTCCCTCCCATTCTCAAAAGAAATACGTAAACTTAAAAAAATAATAATAAAGCAAAGACATTTCACACAACATCTTTTAGGTGTGGGATATAGCAATGAACAAATTGGTAAAAGATCCTAGCCCTCTTGAAGCTTCAATTCCGTTCTGGGAAGAAAGACAGTAAGATATAACGTTTGTAAGTCGGTGAAAACTAGCAGAGTAACAAGAAATTGTAATCAGAGATGGGAACTCCCAAGTTCAAGACCATAGAGCTAGAGTGGTCTCTGTGATTCTAAGGGCCTATAAAGTGGGTATACATCCACACTTAGAACAAATCCATTCCTCACAACTGACGGGGAAAGGTCTGGACTGTACTCCGGACTTGCTGGTCTGGCATGTGCTATTCTGCCTCCTCTGGGTTATGTCTTTTTCTTTTCCCCGTCTAGTGGTGTGGGGGACAAACTACTTTTATGTTCAGAACCATATAAGGCTTTCAGATTGTTCACTGGCATAACAGGCACTAAGAGAAGAAAAATGAGACATTTGTCGGAGAGGCTCGGGCTACTCGAACTGTGTACCCTCTGTAGGTTCCTGGCTCGGAGCTCCTCTCATGGGCCCGCCTGTCATGTGGTAAGTAAAGGTCCCTATAAAAATGGAACCCTCACCAGCTTATACCTGCTCTATGGGGTAGGGCCCGGATACAGGCGAGGACAAGGGGAATGACGGGAAGGCTCTAGGGAGGGGCAGGGTTCGGTGGCTGATGCACAGTGGAACAGGAGCTTCTGTGGTGGAGGCGAGTCGCAAAGTAATGACGTCACACGGGTCCCTGCTGTGGAGGCTGAAGTCTTCCAGTGTTACAGCTGGCGAGGAGGTGGAGAAGCACATCAGGTGACCACAGCGGTCCCACAGGGAGGGTGACGGGGTTGTAGGAGGGCTGTGGAGAAGGCAGCCCATCCCAAATATTGGGACCTCAACTCATGCTGATGGTCTCTTTTCTAAAGTTTTTTTTTTTTTAATGTTTTTTTTTTTAATTTATTTCTAGGAGAGAGAGAGAGAGACAGTGTGAGCAGGGGAGGGTCAGAGAGAGAGGGAGTCACAGACTGAAACAGGCTCCAGGCTCTGAGCTGGCAGGCAGCACAGAGCCCGACGCGGGGCTCGAACCCACGAACCGCGAGATCATGACCTAAGCGAAAGTCGGACGCTCAACCGACTAAGCCACCCAGGCGCCCCTGATGGTCTCTTTTCTAAAGAAGACCCAGGAGATCAAAGAGCAAAGCAATCTTCTCCCCACCCTCCTCCTGCTCCAAGGAGGCCAGACGGTGATGAGGATGCAGGCAGGTGACAGGAGCTGTCTTGTGGGGAAAATGGTTGATTGAGGGAAAGATATGAAGATGCCGAAGAGCAGAGTGAATGGTGACATGAGGGTGTCGCCATCTTTGGCGGGAGGGGATGGGCAGGAAGACACGAGAAGGGGGCGGGGGTAATGGACAGCTGCAGAGAGGAGGCCATTTGGAGGTCTTCCTGTGAAACATTAGATGTCGGTGGAGACTGTGTGGAAGAGTATGGGAGGTAAAGTTCTGTCACCACAGAGAGGAAAGGTCAAACCCTCACACTCACTCACTCATTCACAATAGACATTTTTATTGCCTTCTGTATGGGCAGAATTGTCCCCCTCCCCAAATTCATATGTTGAAGTCCTCACCCTCCAGTAACCCAGACTGGGACTGTATTTGAGACAGAGCCTTTAAAGAGGAAATCAAGTTAAAATGAGGTCACATTTGGTGGTGTCAATATAAAAAGAGATTAGGACAGAGATGCACACAGAAAGAAGGCTGTGTGAGGACAGGGGAAGAAGGTGGCATCTCTAAGCTTCGCAGAAGAAACCAAATCTACAGCCATCTTGATCTCCAACTTCTAACCTGCAGAGCTCTGAAACAATAAATTCTATTTAAGCCACCGGGTCTCTGATACTTTGTTATATTAGCCTAGTTAATGAATGCCATGCTTACTAGCTACCAGACATAGTTTGAATGGAATGTATACCAGGGCTTATAAAAACCCTTCTTTATAAAGTTCTATAGAAGGGGTGCCTGGGTGGCTCAGTTGGTTAAGCATTCAACTTTTGGTTTTGGCTCAGGTCATGATCTCACAGTTCTCGGTTTGGAGCCTCAAGTTGGGCTCTGTGCTGGCAGCATGGGGGGTGCTTGGGGTTCTCTCTCTCCCTCTCTCTCTGCCCCTCCCTACTCTCTTTCTCTCTCTCTCAAAAATAAATAAATAAACTTAAAAAAATAAAGTTCTATAGAAATGAAAACTACTTAAATTTTCTTGTTCTTGTCCATTTGGAGGAGAAATATGTCTTGCTGGTGTCCCCTGTCACAACGCCATAGCTGCAGCAAATACTTCCAAGCCAGCTGGAAGCTTCTGTGGGGGGGGGAGGGGCAGGGGATCCAGCTTGCTATGTGGTGATGACATGACATCACTTCTCATCCTGACCACTTTCCCCTCCTAACCACTGCACTCCCAAAAGGAACAGAAAGAGGAATAAGTAAGAAGAAAGCAGACACTAGCAAGAAAACACCATTATAAGTTGAGCCGAACTCTAAACCCCCTTCGGTAATCATGAGCTGGAGCACATCAGTGAGATACCTAAGTTTACTTGTCAAGGACCTTGTCTTGAAGCCTCTAGCTACTCTGAGAACTCAGATTGTTTTTAAGTATATAAGTAGTTCTCCCCACGAGAACCCCTGTATTCCACAACTACCTCTATGCCAACACCAACAAGCAGTGTGGCGTCAAAGTGTCAAGTGAGTGCCTCACCATGGCAGCCTCCGTGTTTATCTTCCATGTCAATCCACTTTATGGCCCTGAGGTTCCCGGTCCACGATGCATTTGGCATGGAGCCAGGGACACCTGCAATGTTGACAAAGAAGAAAAGCAGAAATGAGAACCAAGAGAGAAGAGTGTCGATTTCATCAACGAAGCCTCTACGGTATGTTTACTTTTTCACTACGTTATCTTTCACATTAGATTTCCTATCATTGGTGCAAGACCTCAGAAGCTTATGGTATGAGTAGTTGAAGCTTATGGTATGAATTCTGCCTTGCTGCTAGTAAAAAAATATATACATACATATTTTTTTCATAACGTGTTCCCAAGCCCACAAAATAGAGTTTAAGAAATACCGTGGCATGAAACCGTAATGCAGATGGATAAGTTGAGGAGTTTTGGGTTATCTCTCAATGGCCTTTAACTGAATTAACTTTCAATCCTAATATTACAGTTTCTTAGAACTTTCCATATGACTTCTATCTTAAAATAAAAACTCAGAAAACAGGCTGCCCTAGGTGCTAAGCACTAATAAATGAAAGCAATTCTGGGGTTGCTCTTATATGAAGTTGCAGTGTTAGGCACACAGAAGGGAAATAACTGGTTTACTACATATAAACCCGAACAAATCCCTTAACACACTATCCTTTTTTTTTTTAATGCTTTATTTCTGAGAGAGAGAGAGAGAGAGAGAGAGAGACAGCATGAGCAGGGGAGGGTCAGAGAGAGAAAGAGATATAGAATCTGAAGCAGGCTCCAGGCTCTGAGCTAGCTGTCAGCACAGAGCCCGATGAGGGGCTTGAACCCACGAACAGTGAGATCATGACCTGAGCCAAAGTCAGACCAATTAAACCACCCACGCGCCCCCACACTATCCTTTTTAATTGTTAAAGTGCTTCTTGAGCATTTGGTGTTGCCAAGCATTGTGGGAGGCCCTGGGAACAGAGAGAGATACGAGACTTGATCCCCGGTCACCCAAAGAAGATGAACAGTTGACCCCAAGCTGGAAGTTGTGAGCTTTGGGATTTTCCTAGGAAGATTGGTGTGCACTGACCTACCCATCTTCTCTATTTCTTTCAAGTGTTCTTTTGGCCAGACATTTAGTTGCTGACCCACTACCCAATTAGCTACCAATTCACCTTTGAAAAGTAAGGAGCCTTTTAAAAAGGAGAGGACAGCTTTAGAGGCCGCCATCTTGCTAAGCCAGAGCTTTTCCACCTTGGCATTGTCGACACTTAAGGCTGGATAATTCATTGTTGTAGGGCCTCTCCCGTGCATTGTACGATATTTAGCAGCATCCCTGGATTCCACCTACCAGATGCCAGTAGTACATGGCCCCCGATTGTGACAATTAACAACATCTTCAGATGTTGCCAAATCTCCCGGGTGTGGGGGAGAGTGGGCAAAACTGTCCCTTTTGAGAAATACTGTGCTAAACTGTTTTAAATAACCCTCTCCATCTCAATAAATTTTGTCTACTCCTATACAATAATTTTACCCCAGCATTTCCATTATCGGAAAATAAGCCTATGGGAATCAAATGCAAATATAAGCAAGGAAGAAATATTTTGCTTCATAAGAGCTCCAGCAATTTTCATCAGTAGGTAATGCGGTCTGAATATGATTTTTGATTTCATTAGGTTTTAATAAAAACACTATTTATTAAGCAATATTTTTTCCTATGTACACATGTACCCAAACTGTAACAGTCCTTTCCTACAAGATCTGGTAGGCAGAATAACGCCTCTCCCCTTGATATACATTTAAAGAAGCGCGAATCCTAATCTCTGGAACCTGATAATCTGTTATGTTACAGGGCAAAAGAGAATTCAGTTTGCTTACCAGCTGACCTTAAAAGAGGAAGATTATTCTGAATTATCCAGGCCAATGCAATGCAATCACAACAGTGGAAGAGGGGGGGTAAAGAGTTGGTCTTTTCTTGTTTACTGTTTGAAGGTGGAGAATGGGGCTAAGAAACATGGGTCATTAGAAGCCGAAAAAGGCCCAGGCCCTACAGAAAGCAGTGGAGCCCAGTCAATGCTTTGCTTTTAGTCTAGTAACACTGTGTTAGAATTCAGTCCTCCAGAACTGTATGGTAATACATTCCTGTTGTTTAAGCTGCTAAGTCTGTGGTAGACTGCTACAATGGCAAATAGAAAACTAATACACATCCTTGAGTTCCTGGGTGGCTCAGTCAGTTAAGTGTCCGACTTCGGCTCAGGTCATCATCTCACCACGTGTGGGTTTTAGCCCTGCATCGGGCTCTGGGTTGACAGCTCAGAGCCTGGAGCCTACTTCAGATTCTGTGTCTCCCTCTCTCTCTGCCCCTCCCCGCTTGCACTCTGTCTCTCTCTCTCTCTCAAAGATAAATAAACATTTAAAAAGAAAAAAGAAAACTAATACACATCCTAACTAGACAAAAAACTTACTCAGGATGATAAGTATTTTTTCATAAGAAAAAAAAAACTGGGCAAGACCAAAACTTTTCAAGAAGTTTAATTGGATTAAGCATATAAACGTCTCCTCTTTAAAAACATTAATAGAAATGTGCATTTCCAGAAGAAAAAAAGCTCTGTTCTTCTGCCCTGATGTCACATGATAATTATATGATGCTCTGAATTAAGAATTGTACCAAAGTCTCCCGGCTAAAATTAAATTACGCCCAGCCTTTCCTGTAAATAGCATGAATCCTCACCCCTAAGGATTCACTATAACAGAGTCTTTTTCTTGCTGCCAAACTTGAAAAGTTCGCTTATAAATATTGAGTAGTCAAGAAAAACACCACTTATTAAGCAATACTTTTTCCTATTGCTTTGATTTGCATTTATTACTTTAAAAACAACTTTAGCCCTTGCTGTTCCCCAAAGAAGCTTCTTTATTTTGTCCTTAGTACACATTTGCAAAGATTTCAGAATAAAACTCGCCTCAGTTGAGTTGGGGACTGGGGGAGGCCAGTCCAGAAAACAAGGAGATAATCTGGTATATTTACTTGTGTCAACAAGATTAGCTGCCATGGATGTGATTTTTTAAGTATTATTTATTTTTTTGTTTTTATTACCTTTTTTTTTCCGAGAGAGAGAGAGAGACATAGTGCGAGTGGGGGATGGGCAGAGAGAGAGAAGAAGACACAGAAACTGAAGCAGGCTCCAGGCTCCGAGCTGTCAGCACAGAGCCTAATACAGGGCTCAAACCCACGAAATACAAGATCATGACCCAAGCCAAAGTTGAATGCTCAACCGACTGAGCTGCCCAGGTGCCTCTACATGGATGTGATTTTTATGAGTCTATTTTGATTAAATAACTACAGCAGAAAAGTGTGAAGGACACATTGCCATAAGAAAAAGTCCCTACTCTCCTTTACATGATTACATTTTTTTAAAAAGATTATTTTTTCCTCTCCTTTTCATCCAGATTCTACATCACAATCTGACTCTTCCTCAGAAACACATTCCTTATCCTAGAGATAAGATGGTGACATTTACAATTAATGACTGCTGTCTTTTTTTTTAATGTTTATTTATTTTTGAGAGAGAGACCGTGTGAGTGGGCAGGGACAGAGAGAATGGGAGACACAGAATCCAAAGCAGGGTCCAGGCTCTCAGCTGTCAGCACAGAGCCCGATGCGGGCCACAAACCATGAGATCATGACCTGAGCCAAATTCAGATGCCTGACACACTGAGCCACCCAGGCACTCTGATTTTCCAACCTTTTAGACTGCAATGTATGGAACAAACAATTTTTTATTTTCTCTTCTCTTCTCTTCTATTCATCTGTTTATTTTTAAAGTTCATTTTCAGAGAGAGAAAGAGAGAGAGCACAAGCCAGGGAGGGGGAGAAAGAATCCCAAGCAGAATCTGAGATGTCAGCGCAGAGCCCTAAGGGGGGCTCAAACTCACAACCATGAGATCATGACCCAAGCAGAAAGAAGGAGTCAAACGCTTAATCGACTAAGCCACCCAGGTGTCCCAAAACAATTATATATCATCATATGCACACACATGCATGTCAAGTAAACAAAAATTTCACAAATTACTTAGGCTTATTACACGTAAGGCACTTGTTTATTTTATGTGATTTTCCCATATTAAAAATTCTGCTCAAAACCTACTCGAGTGATTTCCAGATCCACTAATGGGAAATAGTGCTGTTTTAAAAATACTCTACTGGGGGTGCATGGATGGCTCAGTCAGTTAAGCATCCGACTCTTGGTTTCGACTCAGGTCATTTTGTCACAGTTTCATGAGTTTGGGCCCCACAACAGGCTTCATAATGACAGTGTGTAAATCCTGCTTGGGATTTTCTGTCCCCCTTTCTCTCTGCCCCTCGCCCACTCTTGCTGTCTCTGTCTCTCTCAAGATAAATAAATCAACTTAAAAGTTTTTTTAAATAAAAAAAAATATAGTCATTGATGACTGTGTTATTACTAGTCATTGATGACTGTGTTATTACTACTGCTGTTATGATTATGATTACTATCGTGCAGGATTCTGGGAGGGTAGTTATGAGGTGTTATGGATAAAGTCTACCCTCAATTCCTAAGTATCCTGGGAAGGGTCCATTTTGCATTATTTCTAGGATGGGGGCAAAAAGAATACAGCAATATTATCAGAGAAGCCATTTTAAACTATAAAATGCAATTCTCTCATTTGCTCTTCATAGGCTTATTTAAACAAAAGATTTGAGATACGTTTACAGAGTCAGCAAGACTGTTTTTCTTGGAGCTTAGCCACTGTTAGTCAAATAACTGCATTTGTTGAATAAATGAATATGGTTCTTTGAAATGCAAGCTTTATTTATATTGACTTGACTTTCTCCTTATTGTTATTACACAGTGTGGTCCTCCGGTTGAAAGACCTCCCTGTGGTAACAATTCCAGCAATTGCTTATTATTTAAGCTCAGATATATACTTTTCAACTTATTGAACAAGGAATTTTGTTTCTAAATGTCAAAAGTCAAGGCTAATGTCAATACATAGACAAGGGCTTTCTCACAAGTTAATGGTGGTACTGCAAATGGGCACGGCTCTGGCAATCAATTCGGAAATATGTAGAGAAAGTCACTACACCCTTCCATTCCCTTTGG